TTTATTTTTCTTGCGGATTCTTAATTTGGTGCCCGAGCACTACTAAAATATTCAAAAGACCTTTTCCAAAAGTCAGCGGTATCGATTTTCATTTCTTTACAGTATAATATACTGAGTATATATAGAGTGACGCAGAAATACATATAACAATATGTATATGTATGTGCGTCACTTGGAGGACTGCAGACAAATTTATAAAAACAAAATTCAATGTAAATGTTCTTTATCAAACATGTAAACAATATGTAACTAATAAACTCGTTCAATGTCACAAACTAAGTGTCGAATTGAAAGAAATGAACGTAGTAAAGAAGTATGGCCAGCGCTGTGAATTTTTCGATTTTCTTTCGATAGTATGTATATACTCCCTTTTATAATTCCTGTCTGTTTTTTACCCCAATTTAATCGTTGGATTATAAAATAATGTACTACAAATTTGTTGAGAATTCTTTTGGGTCAGCCTTCTAAATCCTTCCAATCTCTTATATACACTCAACCCGTGATTTGTTTGACCTGAAACCCAAAAATTCAGCATGTCAAAAAACCTTTGGAATAAGTTTTTTGCCCAATGCCTGCCGAACTCAGTCTCATAAACAATGAGAGCCATGAAAATCAGAAGAGCGTAATATTTTATTCCTGAATGAAAGGGATAATATATTGGGTAAATGAATTAGAAAAATAGGTCGGTAATCCAAGGGCTAATAGAGTCCAAAATTATCGAAATAATATAGTTAAATTTTTGTCAACCCCAGTATAATTATTTTATCAATCTTCTCTTCCAAGTGCATCAATAGTGAGAATACATGAATATTGAACTATTAGTATTGAGAGAGAGAGTCTTTTTTTCTTGATGGAATAATTTACCGCATTTGTAATAATGAAATTATACGGTTTCATAAAATAAAAAAACATCTGATTTCCTTTCACAGAATTGCCTTATCAGAATTCTAATCTGCTTACAACCATTTCTGCTAAGCTCATATAGACCTTCGAGCTTGCATATTTAATGCATGTATAAATATTTTCCACTTATTAATTCACCAGTTTTGTGATCATCTTGATTGATTCACCAAAGGTAAAAATGTACCGAATTTTTATAATTTGATATAATTTTAAGTTTATCACAAATTATTATGATTACCGATCCCTTTCCAATAGGAGTACTATGGAACTTTGTTTATTAGTTACTCAATACTCTAAGTTGGTATATTTTTCTTTTCTTATTTTCCTTCAATCACTTTTAATTATGCATTGAGATTTAGTTTTATTCACCAGTTCTGAAATAAAGGTTTACGAAGGTACGACAGTAAGCATAAAGGATGAAAAATATTGCCAACGTGAATAAAGGATCAGAATTTGTTATGTTTGTTGAAAGTCGTTGTTTGGTCAAACGATGCACATGATATTTTAAATAATAAGATTTGAATTTGATGAAAACACTGATATGCTTTCACAACTGTGAATTTTATTTGATTCGCAAAGAATAATAATATTCCTTGGAGGCATTATGAATTCCACAGTAAATTTACCTGTTTCGGGTTATTTTCATAAATTTTATGTTTGTTTTGATATTAGATTAAAGTCAATGGCTTGGATTTGTAAATAAAAATGAAAATGACTTAACGTAACTCATCTCCTGCTTTCGCCTACAGAAATTCCCATACATAAGAGCTGGAGGAAAGATACTTTAGGTCATTTTCATTTTCAGCTACAAATATACATTTATTACAAAAACCTAAAATTTGAGGTTCGATTGAACTATTTTCATTAAAAAAAGTAAACATTAGATAAAAATACAGCCTTATGTACCTTTTATATTTTAACATGCATTATAAATTTGAATTATCTTAGCGTAAATTTCTATCACGGGAAAAAACTCTGTAGTAACAACAAAGTTCTTTGTTGAATGATGATTTTTGCTGCTTAAAATGGCCTATTATACAAACCGAATTGAAATTAAAGAAACACAATCTGGGCTTGTCGTAACGTTAATGCAAATGAAAGCAATGTATGCTCGTAATTTGTGTGCCTTTAACTCAATTAAAAAATGTGATATCATCACCAAAAAAATTGTCAATCTTTTGACACAAAATAAAGAAAAATATAAATTTCTTCAAAGAAATCTATTATTCTAGCGTAATTTTATAATGTTTTTAGTGCATTCTAACTAAATCTAGGTGGTCATTTTCATGTCAAATGAAACGGAGATTATGTACATAGTGGAATGTATCCACTTGTTTCATTAATATTAATAATCCAATAATACTTCTTTTGACAACATAATGTGAACACAACACAATTAAATTTTAAATTGAAATTCTAACGATTCATTTGTTCATTTCGGCTCAAATAAAAAAATACGCTCTATGTACCAAGCAATATTTATTTATATGTATTAAAAATGTGCTCGCATCGTGTGACAGTATTGTTAGTATAAACAACTTCCATCAATTTTAAACTACAATCGCACCAACCGATTTTGTTTACAATAAAACTTTGTCTTGTTTTCAATTTCAACGATTTTGTGTGATCGGAACGCTGTTTGCTGTGGAATGGATATATTCACAGTTGGTTTTGTGTTCATTTATGTTTTATTTTCGAAGTAACAGAGTGTTGATAAAATAAATTGTTAACAACATTTCGATAGGCAATCTATTTTTGCAAACAACACATTAATAATACGGTGACCAATCTCTCCACTTGGTGTGAAGCTCGATTTGAGTCATTGTTTCGAATGTGATGCTGGTATCACAATCAAAACAACAATGAGTTAAGATTTAATGGATTCGACATCAGAAATGCCAAAATGTTAGCATAACGATCAAACGACTCGTCAAATGGTAACGTGAAAAGAGTAGAAAAGGCCAACATTTTATTGGATGATCTGGTCGCAATTGGATGGCGACGCCAAAAATACATGAAATTTTTCATAAAGGACCATTGGGTTGAATCGTTGTGGTTGTTCGGACAAATGCAACGTCAAATAGCAGCTTATCACAGTGATGCCGCACAATTGAATACCATTCGTGAAATATTTCGCGACAATCCGAACTTTCAACAGCCAACGAAAATAAACAGTTTTGCTCTTGCACCGTTATGCGATTATCATTTGAAGTGCGTGCGATTGGATATAAGAGATTTGTATAACAAATTAGCAAGTAAGCTAAAAGTGTTGTCCAGATTCCTCAATCATGAGACCAACTGTCTGAATAAATACCCAGAAAAATACTACAGAGATCATAATAGAGATGGACTATGGAATTTGTTGTTTGACGTCGATAAAATCAACCAATTGGGCAAACGATCCAAACAATTCCATCATCAAATCGTGACCGAGTGTTTCCGTATCGGTACAGTTCACCAAACCAGAGCGGGCGTGCAACGAAAATGTGCATTCACAGGCGGACAACCTTGTGGATAAGAAATACGTTATTTGCATCGATCCGAATGAAAAAACGTGGTTCGCTATAACGCATCGCAACATTCCCAAAATACCTGATGAACCGGAATAGGTGAGATAATTTGAAATCTAATTTGAAATGTGTTTGAATCGAAACTCATTATTTTTTATCAATTGGAATTATGAAGGAAAACATCACAATAACAAACACGCGATTCTACTAGGAAACTCAGCAGAAGACGAAGACAAAAAGAGGCGAAAATTTAGCTGGATGGTTTGATATCGAAGAAAAGAAAATGCATATCCATTCGGTCCACCCTCACCACCCAATTCAACATGGCAATGGTACATTGAGTACTCGTATAGTATTAAAATCTTCAAACTTTCAGAATGTTATTTTTTGTGTACAAAATAGTCTGCGTAAAGTTTCACGTCATTAAGGTGGCATACAGGCATGGCTCCCATACAAAAGATCATTTTTTTGTGATTTTTATCAAAAATTGATTGTATCTCAAAATTAACATCGGATTCGGTTTTCTCGTGCCAACAAACAAGCCAATACATATTTTTAGTGTACATAATTTTAGTGTACACAATAGTGTACATAAAGTATGACTTTTGGATAAAAATTAGACTCTTTCTCATTGGCATCACTTCAGACAACTTTTCTGGAGGATGAGATAATCTATTGACAAATTTTGCGTACGGCGGACGACGTACCACGTGGAAGCGACCCACAACAACCATGCTCAAAATAGCCTAATTCGGGTTTTTTGACCTCAGAAACGTCCAGAAAACATGTTTTTGAAGTGTCGTTTTGAGGTGGTACTTTTTTGTATAATAATAATTCAACGTTAGGTAGGGCACCGTTTATGTATTGAGAATAACAAACACAGATAAATATTTATTATTGAAAATGGCCTTATTGTTTTTCAAAATATTCACCATGATGATCGATACACTTTTCCATTCGCTCGAACCACTTGTCATAGCATTCATGCTACTCCGAAAGAGATATATCCAAAACGTGTGTTTTGAACGCATCAACTGCTCCTTCGGGCGTCGAAAATCGTTCTCCACGCAGTTTTTTCTTTACACTCGGGAATAAAAAGAAATCATTGGGTGTCAAATCAGGACTGTAGGGCGGATGACCCATCAATTCGGTCTTTTAACCGGTCAAATATTGATTGGCTTGAGCCGATGTGTGAGAGCTCGCATTATCATGATGAAGAATTATTTTGCGACGGCGGTTGTTTTTTCTTATTTCACCAAACACTTCTGGCAAACAAATGGTGGTGTACCATTCAGAATTGACCGTTCTACGATCCTCTAGTGGAACTGTTGCCACATGTCCACTAATGGCGAAAAAACAGGCAACCATTTGCTCCGAAGTGCTTCTTGCTCGAACAACTTTAGTCGGGTTATCTTCACTTTGGAAGACCCATACAGTCGACTGCTGTTTTGTTTCGGGCTCATACGGGCTCTTATATCGATGATCGTCACCTGTGACGATCTTATAAATGTTTTTTGAAGCACCACGATTGAATTTCTTGAGCATTTGTTTGCACCAATCGACACGAGCCTTTTTTTGAGCGATTGTCTAATTATGTGGGATCCAACGCGAGCAAATCTTTTTCACGTCTAAATGTTCGTGCAAAATCTTATATACGCTGGTGTAACTAATGCCCAGGGATGCCTCAATCTCACTGTATGTCACATGACAATCTTCCATTATCAGTTCACTCACAGCATCGATTGTTTCTGGCAAAACAACTGATTTTGGACGACCTTCCTTAAACTCATCTTTGAGCAAACGACGGCCACGATTGAATTCATTAAACCAACGGTATACAGTGGCCTTGGATGGAGCTTCATCACCAAAGGTCGAATGAATTTCATCAAGGGTGTAGACACGAATTATAAAACTTTGAATCATGTGAATCACAGTGAATCAAATGAATCATTCAAATGTCAAATAAGCATCACTTTTAGTTTTACTAACATGATCGTTCAACAAATTCTAAATATTATCGTTGATTTTATTTGGAATTTACTAGAAAAACACGAAATAGATAAAAAAAATAATAAGTTAATACATTTAAAAAAACGTCAAGAAATCATTTTTTCGAAAACAAATAATTTTAATTTTTCAATAAATATTTCTTGTATGACACATAAATGACATTTCAAATGTCATCTAAACAATGTGAATCTTTTGAATCACAGTGAATCAAATGAATCACGTCTACCCCCTAGGATTTCATCGACGCACTGTTGTTGTGATAATCCACGTCCAAAGTTGTAAAAAATAATCGCACGAAAATTTTCACGAGTTATTTCCATTTTTTTGTTGAGACGCAATTTACAAGTCACTGTAAACAATACAAATAGCGCGCGCACGTCAGAACGTTCTGAGGACGTTTATGCTAAAGAATGTCAAGCTTTACGAATTTGACAATGCTTTGCATCGGCCAACACTAGTAATGCCAATTCTCAATACATAAACGGTGCCCCTCGTATAAGCATATAATTAATCGGTTCAAACGTTGTGTAATCGCTTCTCCTTATTGGTATATCAAAAAGCGGTGTGGCTCTGGTGTTATGCGATGAATCGTAATAATTCAAACTGTTTGATATATGACTGGACTTCATATCACCATGAATAGTTTTGAAGATGAAAGACACTTGTGCCATCTTGCGTCTCTTTTCAAGCATAATCATTTGTAGAAACAGCATATTTCGGTAGTTTGTAACTTCCAGTTCATTCTCCTTAGTGCAAAAAATAAAAATTGTTTTTCGTAGTGTGGATAACTGCTCTATATTCAATGATTGGAAGTACGTTTTTTTTTTTTTTAATTTAACGTTTTATTGTTAACATGGGTCGACAAAATCCTTGCCGTAGAATTTTAACCAAGCCAGTCTTGATTTGGTTTTAGCCGCGACATGCTCGTTGTGTGACTTGAAATTCATTCGCATCAAGCAACACTTCCAAGCAGTGATGAGCACATTAGCTGGCTAATTTGCCATCACTGTGTTCACCGGCTAACGAATGCGTAAGCCAGCACTAACACACGTCAGGAGAATTGGACGTTTTCACACGCATACTATCATACACAGTCACACAGACAGTGTAGACAGTTAGCTGGCTAACGATTGGTGTACACCAAATGTTGGTATACACCGAGGCTAAGACAACGCTGCTTCCAAGTCTCTTTCAATTTGAACGCCGCCTATGTTGTATTTGTATTCATATTGTAAATCCCAGATGATATGATATGATCTTTGTTTTGTTTACATTTAATTTTAATAAATTGCGTCTATAATAATCCGCTACACGATCCAAGTCATTTTGAAGAGTAATGCAGTCATCTGTTGAGGTGATATATTTCGAAAGTAATTCCTCTCCAAACTTCCCTATCGAGAGCCAGGTCTTGAGTTTCTCTACACCAATCATACCCTCTAACATCCAAATCACATTTAACTGAATCCAAATAACGTCTACGAGGTCTTCCCCTATTTCTCGGTCCATCCGAATCAGCATACAAAACCTTCTTTGGCAAACGAGACTCATTCATACGTTGGACATGACCAAACCATCTCAATCTTTACTTTCTTGCTACATCATCAACCGACTCAACATTCAAATCATCTCGAATTCTTTCATTTCTAATACGATTTTCCCATTGATCCCTACGCGATACTCCAGAAATCATAAGCAAAACTTTCATATCAGCCACTTCCAAACCATGAATTAAATTTTGAGAATCGACCCAGCTCTCGCTTCCGTAAAGGATAGTTGGTCTGAAGATTGACTGATGAATCATCAATTTCGTCTCCTTACTCAACTCACGTTTATTGAAAACGTGTGATCTAAGTTGCGCTACTACCTTATTTCCATTCATTCTACGGTGTTCAAACTCTTTATCAAACTTGCCATCTTCAGAGAAGATGCAACCCAAATACTTGAATTGTGACACTTGTTCAAGCAAGTTTCCATTCAATTCGCATTGAATAGTTTTTCGAGTTTTACCCACATGCATAACCTGAGTTTTCGAACTGCTAATTGTCATTCCAAAGTCTGTACAGGCCGCTTGTAAATCTCTAATACTATTCTGCAGCTCCTGTTCAGAACTACCGAATAGTACCAGATCATCTGCATATGCTAAGGCAGAGATTACATTACCCCCAAAGCTACGATTTTATCAGCTTATCCATATAAATAATAAACAGAAGCGGTGAAATTGTACAGCCCTGTCTAAGACCATTACGCACCTCAAACCATTCGCTCAAATCACCATCCACTCTAACTGATGCTTTGATGTTTGAGTACAAACTTTTAATTGCCCTAAGAAGAGACCCATTTATTCCATATTCGGCTAAAACCGACCACAACTTTGATCTTGGAATACAATCATAAGCCTTCTGCAAATCAACGAAACACAAAAACAAATCCTTATTTTTCTCATGGAATTTCTCTAGCAGCTGTCTCAAAACAAAAATTTGGTCTTGGCAACCCCGCATAGGGCGGAATCCCGATTGATTTTCAAATTTTGCGAATGAAAGTATGCATGAATTGTTCACGACGAAAGGTAGATCAATAACAAACAAGATGAACAAAGTGGAGCCAATGGGATATCCTTGATCCGTCTCAGTGGTAACTTCGATTGGGTCAGATTTGGTATCTGCTATCTTTACAATTTGTTTGCGACCAGAAAAGTAAGATTTGATCCATTTTAACAGCTGTGTATTCAATCCCATTATGTCTAGTTTTTGAATAAGTAAATTTAAGTTAACCGAGTCAAAAGTCTTGGCAATGTCCAAATAGATGGCGTCTGTTGGATGTCCCAAAGGACATTCTCCATATTTGCGGTACAATGACAGTTTCAAGTGATTCCACACTACATTTATTAATTGGCTGCACTTTTCGGAAATTGGAAAAGTTTCATTGAAGACGAGTATTTCATCTGCAACAGCCGCTGTTTATGATAAGTTATGCACTGAAGTTTTAGTCCATCCACTCAACCAACAAAACATCGCTCCAATTAATGTGTCATGTGTAATGTGCGGAAAAGTAAAAACCACAATAAAGGCTCACTTCTTAAAAAAATAGCATTTCCATGAAAAGAGGACCATCTTTTTAACTTCACAAAAAGACACCAAATTAATTATTTCTCGTCTGTTTTTGGATGTTATAGATCCAAAATACTTGAAATGAGCAACAATTAGTGGGAAGGTTTGAGAGAAAGTTGATAGAACACGACAAACTGGTCTACCAAGGCAAGATTTTGAAGGTTCGACGCATACTGAGAAGAATCGAAGACAATGGTCCATTGAGTGTAATGCAAATGTGCTATTCGATAGCCCATGGATAAAGGTTTACACCAATAAAAACGAATTTAATATTGTATGTTTGTTGTTCAAATGGCGAACGTCTGAATTTAGTCTAAAGACTTATTGTTCATATGTAAATTACACAGGACTTTGTCGGATGTTTGGCGTACTAGTACCAGGATCCATAAATTATTGAATAAAACAAATATTATAATGATTAGTTAGCGTAGCTAGGCTAGACACAATTTGTGTTGCAAATTGTGTGGCCTTGTTGTCCGTTCATATGAAGGAGCCCGTAGGTAAATAAAGTTTTTAATTTAAAAAAAGATATCCCATATACAATTCAATTGATACTAATGAATGTCGTGACTCTTTTCTAAGTATTCACACCTCAATGCTTCGCTATGGCAACCGTAAAAATAACTGAAACTGCATACAAATCCGGGTCCAAATTTGACCGTGAATTTTTTCCTGGTAATGGGTGAATTTGCATTACAAACTGTTTCTTGGATATTCCAGCGTGAATTTATCAAGAGAACTTAATAAATATATTGGTTTTAGAACCTTAAATTTTAATAAAAACATACTGTAAACTTTACAGTGTAAAGAGATAACATGAAATAAAAACAAAGGCAATATATCAGAGAGAGCGAATATGAATCGTTGCGGTTAATATTGTTCTTTCCGGATCTGTTGTTGTAATTTGTGCAAAACTCTATATAAAATGTAGTTCTTCATGTTCAACATCATTTGGAACAAAATAGGATCTATTTCTTCATCACAAAGATTCAAATGATCAATAAAAGGTGGTTAAGAGGCCAACGGTATACTATAACAATAAAAAATGGTCTAAAATGGTTAAAAGTGAAAAAATGTGCATTTGAATTTAATCAACAACGTTAACGTTGGTCTGAAAAGTGCAGGTATACAGTTGTTTAATCCTCTGGGCCCATTATGATCAACATAACTGTACGTTACCCAATTTATCGTAAGAACCGCATCATTGATGAATAACATATATGAAACATTGAAATAATTCATCTGGGAATTAAATTGTATGATTAAAAGTTCACATTTCACAGAAAAGTATGGTAGTATAACTTTCCAGTTAAATTTGTAAAATATTAGTAAAAAATGTGTAGTCCAATTTTCTATCCATAACATGGTTATATAGACATTTTCATTGCACTTTTTTTCTTTATCCATTTGTTCCTGAAGTAATTACATTTTAAGAATGGTATAAGAAAAATTAAATTAGTAACCTTTAGATATAATACTTGAATTTGGGAAATCCAAAAATTCTATCTTGGTCGAAAGGTTTATATTTTTTCAGGAATGCAAAAATGTGTTAGGTGTCAATAAAAAGAAAATTGTAGATAATCAACACGCTTACAACACAATTAAATATATTTATGTACAATAGAGTCTTTATAGAAACAACAAGGAAACGGAACTTAATTGGATGATCTGTATATATGTAGTACATTTATACAACGTATGGTCTGAATCAAACTTATGACGGGCAATGTATAGAGAAGACAATGTAATTTATTATTGGTGGCAGATGGAGGTATATTGATGTAGAACTCATTGAGAAATCCTGTAAAATGTCTCTTGACTAGAAAAGGGAAAAAAACATAAACATCACACTTGTACGATGAAGATTATATATCCACAACTCACATATGGAGAGAGAAAAATTGAATGAAGAACTGATTATGAGAAACTTGTAGCATTAGTTGCCAAAACTTCATATGACATGGAGTAAAAACGAGATTTTAAAGCGTATGAACGTATATGCTCCTTCATCTACTCTCTATTTGTACACAATTGGATTGAATGGATGAGAATAATGGCAAATTTTTTACTCAAAATCTAACAGTGTATCAATAATAATAATAATTCTACCGAGCAGCGTTCCTTCGCATTGGTGATTCCTTTATAAAAAAAAATATATAAACAAATATAATATAATTTAAATATTTTTCAATTGCAATTTTGTGAGAGACATA